TTGACGGACGAACAATTGAAACAACAGTAACTGACAAAGCAGCAATGGTCTAATGATGTTTTTTTGAAGTATGCTGGAATTGAATCTGCAGTTGCCAACGCACGTGTAAGTGAAATGTACTCCAATTATGATGGAAAAAATGTCATGAGTGACACTGAATGGGCAAGTACTCATGAGGTCTCCAAATTTGCTGGAGAAGAAATTGCTGTTGGCCTAGACTGCCTAGCTATCTATATACGAACGACAAATTAACTATATTCCAATTTTGCACTGACGACAAGTGTTTGATACTCCAATTGTTGTATTTGGACGAATTGTCACAAACATTTAAGACATTCTTGGCTTATCCTAAATTTGTATTTGTTGGAATTGAGGTTTATGAAGACGTCCAAAAGCTGAATCATGTGTATGGATTGTTAAGGTGGGTAGATGCTATGCAAACTGAGATTCAAGCCCTTGAAGATAATAAGACTTGGGAGATAACTGAGCTACCACCAGGAAAGAAACCTATTGGTTGTAGGTGGGTTTACAAGATTAAATACAAGTCTACAGGAGAGATAGAAAGGTTTAAAGCAAGGCTAGTTGCTAAGGGATATAGTCAACTAGAAGGTATCGACTATCAAGAAACTTTTTCCCCTGTTGTGAAGATGGTGACTGTGAGGACAATGGTGTCTTTAGCTGCTTCAAGACACTGGCACATTCATCAAATGGATGTGTTCAATGCCTTCTTGCAGGGTGATCTTGATGATGAGATTTATATGCAACTCCCTCAAGGCTTTGTTAGTCAAGGGGAGAAAGTATGCAGACTAACAAAGTCATTATATGGGCTTAAACAGGCTCCAAGGCAGTGGAACCATAAGCTGACTGAAGCTCTTACTACTCTTAACTTCAAACAAAGCCAATATGATCATTCTTTATTTGTCAATAAATCAGAAGCAGGCATTGTTGTGGTGTTAGTATATGTGGATGATATGATGATTACAGGCAGCAGCTTGAAGTTAATAGAGAAGACAAAACTGGAATTGCAGCAGGCTTTTAAAATGAAGGACTTAGGTGAATTGAAATATTTTCTGGGCATTGAGTTCACTAGGTCAACAGAAGGGATATTGATGCATCAAAGAAAGTATGCTTTGGAACTTATAGCTGAGGTTGGGATGTCAGCAGCTAAGCCTGCAGGTACTCCTATTGATGTTAATGTTAAACTAACCTCAAAACTATATGATGACCATGAGAAAAGTCATGGAACTCCTGAAGATCCTCTAGTAGATCAGACAAAGTATCAAAGATTAATTGGAAAACTATTGTATCTGAACATGACAAGACCAAACTTGTCTTTCAGCACACAAAACCTAAGTCAGTTTCTACAATAGCCAAAGAAATCTCACATGGATGCAGCCTTAAGAGTAGTGAGATACCTGAAAAAACAGCCTGGGCAGGGGTTATTGTTTCCTAGCTCTTCTGATGAAGTAGTCACTGCATTTTGTGATGCAGATTGGGCATCTTGTCCACTTACCAGAAGATCAGTAACAGGATATGTGGTTAAGGTAGGGAACTCTTTGGTGTCATGGAAGGCAAAGAAGCAGACTATAGTTTCCAAGAGCTCAGCTGAAGCTGAATATAGGAGCCTTGCCTCCACTGTGTCAGAGTTAATTTGGTTACTTGGATTACTTAGAGAAATAGAAGTTGAAGTGCAGCTACCAGTTCAAGTGTATAGTGATAGTAAAGCTGCCATACAGATTGCTGCAAATCCGGTATATCATGAGAGAACAAAGCATATCGAAATCGATTGCCATTTTATAAGGGAAAGATTACAACAAGGTTTGATCAAAGTTAACTATCTTCCTACACAAGAGCAGCCTGCAGATGTATTGACAAAAGGGTTATCAAAGTATCAACATGAATATCTCTTATCCAAGTTAGGTGTCTTAAATATTTTTTGCCCCACCTAACTTGAAGGGGAGTGATGAGATATGAGTGTAAGGTAGTTAAGGAGTTAGTTATTTCACCAAGATGCTCAAGGGTAGTATAGACCTTTTATATTGTTTGTTACAACTAATTCCTTCAAGTTAGTTAGTTAGTTTGATTAGAAGTTAGATTCTATAAATAGTACTTTTCAGCATTGTAAAAGTTAGTCTTTGAACTCAAACAATGAGAGATTCTCTTCTTCTATCTTAGCTCCTTGTTAATGGAGGTTTTGTGTTAATTCTGTTTCAGTTCATTTTAGTTCAGTTATGTACTAGATGTGCTGATATTTTTTAAGACAAAAGTGATGATATTCATGAAGCAGGGCTGGATCCAAGGTATAGCTAGCTGTTACTTATTACCTTTGTTCTTTTTTAGGTGATTATGTTTGATTTGACATGAGTTTTATATATGAAAGAAACAAATGATTTTATTTTTGTCTCATTATTTTATGTATTGTTTGGTTTTAGGCCATCAAGTCTAGTGAGCGTCCTCTACGATGAGGTTCCAAAGAATATGAAGCCAGGATGGTCTTGTCGTTCAAAATTGAATTATTTTGTGGTCTCCATATGCCAAATATAGAGGAGAATGTTAGGCAGAGCAATTGGGTTCTTAATGAGGGACAAGTTGAGTTTGCTTGCATTAATGCTTATGCTTCTTACAAGTCTGGTCGCAGGCTGTTTACTTCTACTTGAAGCAATTGAGATTGAATTGTTGATGTATTTCATCGACTATATGTTCGATTGATCGAACCATAAATATTTTACTTTAGGCTTTTGATGTTTTACTTTAAGTGTGTCTTTTGCATCTAACTGTGTCGTTTGTTATAATGAGTATCGTGTGTGTGCTCTTTATTATTATTATCTGTCTTTGATCAAGTATGCCTAATTACTAGTCCTTTATTAATTATCTGTGTTATATGTTTCGTCACGTAACTTTGTTTATTGTGACTACATAGTACCAAAAACAAAAAAGTATATAGACCCTAAATTAATAACGGATCAAGGTTTTCACTTTAAAAGAGTGGACCCTAAATTCCAACACGAATATGGGAAGATGGAGGATTTTAAAAGAGTCTTTTTTATTGGAAGTTGAAACGAATTAAATTAAACTACGACTTGAAAAAATGAAACCTAGAAAAAGGATTAAGTGGAATTCTCTATGAATTTTTTGGAAAGCTCAACCATATTTACGTTAGGCATAAAGTGGAATTCTCTATGTTCAATTGTTGTATTTGGATGAATTCCCAAAAATCCTTCAAGCATTCTTGTCTAATGTGTGTGACAAATATTCGTTTGATAATTTTTTTTTGAATATATATAGAAAACAAACTACTTATAATTACAACAAAGTTGTGAAAAAAAATCATTTTATTAATAGAGTGCAACTCTTTATTCGTTTACGGTTGAAATAAGGTGTTTCTTAATGAAAAATGATCATGCATGTTATCGTTTTCGTGATTGAATTCAATATTCTTTCCTATCCTAAGCCAGGAAAGAAGATGTAGTTAGGATTTTCTGGGCCCAATCCAGACTCCTTCCAACCGTAGGTCCTTTTATCAGACTGGGCTGGGCTTTTCTGGTTCCTCCTTCCCATATTGCATTTTTAGCTGTTACTACAAATTTTATGATTTGTTCCAACATTTTGAGTTATGACTATGTTTTAGTATTTATTTATTAAATTATAATAATAGGAGTAATTCACTTTTATCATTTAAAAATAATGGTAAGGGGTATTTTTTTCTTTGAATAAAATTTGGGATTCTTTTTTATTTAACTCATAGCTTCTCCATAGGAAAATAATACTTGTCTAATTCGTCTCAATAATTTTTTTTATTTTTTTTTAAACCCTCCCCTAGGAGCTCCCACCTCTTTTGCTCCTTGGTGACTCGAACTTGCAACCTTCGGGTTGGAAGTGAGGGGTGCTTACCATCCGAGCAACTCCCTCTCGTCTCGTCTCAATAACTCGCTTTTCAATACAACTTCTTTTAAATAATAAATAATAATAATTTTTATAATCACGCCTTCCAATTTTCTGAAATTCTTATAGAAACTCGAATGAAAAAAAATTAGTATCTTTGGAAAATTGTTTTGAAATGATAGTAATTTATATATAACTTTCAAATAGGAATTATTTTTTTGGCCATAATGGTTTTTTATCTATATTATTTTACTTTTTTGAACATTTTTATCCTTTTAACTTTAATACCTTTTGATTAAAATATGGAAAAAAGATCAGTTTATTTTAAAATAAAAAAGATATTATACACTTTTAAAATTTTCTGGCCATTTAGCATTATCCCTTTCAAATATATAAATACTACTCCCTCTGTCCCTAATTACTTGTCCACTTTTGAATTAACACACCTATTAAGAAAATAATGAGTTTACCATTTTTACCTCTATTAATTATGAAGTGGATGAAAAGTTCTATATTTTTAAAAATAATTAGTCATTTAATTGAAGATATAATAGGTGGAAAAAATTTATCAAAATAAATAAGTAATTAGGGACATCTATAAAAAGAAAAGTGGACTTAAGTATGTTTTTAAAGCAGAGCGGAGAAATAATGGGTCCGGTCCTACAGACCGCACATAGAAATGGGTATTGGTGTTTAACATTATCTACAAGTGTTGGGAATGTTCCAAATCTTCCTTTGACTATTATTGCACAAAGGTAAACAAAACCTTGGCCTACCTAACTTCACGTTTTTCCTCTTTCAAAACGACCTCGTTCCTTACCTTCCTCTTCACCATTTCCATGGCCAAATCCTACCCATGTTGTCACCTTCTATGTACGTATAACAAATCTTCTTCTTTTCAAGAATGTGTCTTTATGTGTTTTATCTCTTTCTTATTCATATGTTTTTATACCCATTTCCAGTTTTCTCATATTTCCCCTCTTTGGTAGTTTTATTCCTGTTTGAGATTATTATTATTTTTTAAAATGTTGTTTTTGAAGAAAATGTGGAACAATGGATTTAACTTCTTTGGATTATTTGAAATATAAAATAATTTTATATCGGAAACCCTACTAGGTATTGTGACTAAATTCCTTTCCTTTTGTTTGGATAAAAGAGAATTTTGTGTATTTATACTATCCTTTCTTGTATAATTTGCTTTATTAATTCCTAGCTGCCTGCAAAGGGACCACTCTTATTTTCAAATTTTTTGATTTGTCATTTTCCATGTCTGTAGTCTGTGTTGGTGAAACGAATCTTCCATGTGATTGAGATTGTCTTGGCTTTGGCAATTTTCTAAATTAATTATTGTTAATATGTACTGTTATAGTATATATGTGTGTTTGTGACTTCCTTGCGTCGAGGGTTTGTCAAAAACAACCTCTCTACCTGCCCTTGCCAGACCCCACTTGTGGAACTATACTGCGAATGGTGTTGTATATATTGTGTGTTTGTGTCTTACTTTTAAAAAGCTACACAATATTGAGTGCTTGATGATGGCGTTTCTTCAAGATCCATCTGAAGTTTGTGGAACGTGAGTAAAAGGCGGTATCTTTTTTTAGGTTGTAGGATAATGTTGTTTATTAGTCTAAATTTGGAGTCTTTTTAGCTCAAGTAAATAGATTTTTAAAGTGGAAAAGAAGGAAGTGTTCATTTGAATGTTTTGGTGTCTTTTGTTTTATGATAAAACAGATTAGATTTTCCTTTGTCTTTAGTTGGTGGATGGCTGCAAGTGTCTTTGATGTGACGAAAGCACGAACAAATGCGTTGTACAATGGCTTAGCTTTTTAGTAACGTTGTTTCTAATTTATGTTTTTGTTATCAGCTAAAGGAGTTGGAGAGAGGTAGACAACATACACTTTGGGTTAGCTATGGATCATATACAGTCAAGGGAAAGTGATTTCGAGGTAGATTTAGAGAGTGGGGGAACAACTAGTGACGAAGATGGCAGTTATAACTATGATCTGACTGGTGAAATTTCTAATAAAGAGTCGTATAAAGCGGGTAGTGGGTTTCGTGGAGTTCAATCGTGCAATGGATCTGTAAGGAACCAAGATGGTTCAAGTACATATAACAAGATTTTAAGCGCTGATGAGCTATCATCTGTTAGGCGTACAGAAATTTGGTCAAACAAAGTGAAGGAAGAGATGGAAAATTTGGGGGACAACAAAATGAATATCGAGAAGACAAGGAAGCCAAAGCCTCCTAAACCACCTAGACCCCCAAAGGGTCCATCACTGGATGCCTCTGATGCAAAGTTCGTCCAGGAAATATCTGAGCTTGCTATATGGAAGCGTAGAAGGACCGAAAGAATGAAGGCACTGAAGAAAATTAAAAAGGAGAGCGGATCATCTTCGAGGATGAATATATTAGCAACAGTGATCACAATTCTGTTCTTCTTGATTATTATATTTCAAGGTACGCTTCATATCCTAGGACATCTGAACTTTTAATTCGTCAGCAGTATTAAGAGCACGAACTTCTTCCTAAAATTTGTTATCATGGAGATCTTTTGAATATTCTTCTTTTTGGCTTCTAAACCAAATATGTTGTTTTATTGGTGACAACTTTATCAGCAGTATAAGTTCATTTCTTTTGTTTTCAATTCCGCTAGTTTGAAGATATATCTTAGTTTTCCTGTAGCTACTGAAATGACTGAGGAAAATGAAGATCACAGCTTTTGCTCCAATACTTCAGTATTCAGTTCTTGCAGGAATATTGAATTCAAACATATATACTGTGTGCTTAAAGGCACAGTCCATTTAATTTGGAGCAACTCAATTAAGCTTCGATGATTAACATTCCTTCTGTTTTTCACTATTCTTGTTCAACATTCCTTATGAGAACTGTCAATATGAATATGAAATGGTGATGGACACCCAGAAGAAGCATGATGAGTTTCTAAAGAGATTTAACAAATAAGAAGAAAGGGAGAGATCAAATTTCTAGATAGCAGCAATTGCCTTTATACAAAACTATATGTCCTTGCTTATTCAAAATGCTCCGAAGATCTCATTAGCTAAATGCATGAAGTCAATTTAAGTCTGTCATTATTAAGAGCCAAAACCTCTTGATTTGCAAGCTTAAGATTTCCTCTTCCTCTGGTTGAATCATATAATGTCAGAAGCTTACTGAAACTTGTTTTCTTCATTTTCCTTGATGCATGAAAATCTTAAGCTGGTTGACTTGGCTCACTGCTAGTGTTTCAGTTGTAGCTGCATATATGTTGATGCCATTAAATAAGTTGTTTCTGATTTTCCAGTTAGGCATCAAAAGGTGACTACTAAGTTGTGCTTAATGAAACATGGCGTATGATATGTCATTTCATAATGTCTGTTCAAAGATTTCTCCTAAGACATAGCTGAACTTTAAGAGATATATCACTGTTGTTCTAAGGACCATTTTCTTATATCTATTTTGAAGATGTACTATTTACAGCTTTCTTGAACACAGTTTACAATATGCGTACAAATGAATTAGAATTTTTTTTAAAAAAATGCATGATTTGGAGCTAAACTTCCTTGAGAGTGGTCATTATCTGTTAAAAACTTGTTAAACTTCGTCTGCTTTTGCAAAACTAATATCCTCTCCTTTGTGGAAATACATGTGTGTTTATATAACAAACAACGGAAGAAAATTTCAAAACACGAAAGATTAAATTCTAAGCACATTCACAATTGCTATCAATATGGGGAAAAAATTCATAGACACTGTCTGAGGAGTTACTACGAACTTAGCTCAACATTGATGGAAAAATCAAAATACTGTTGCACTAGTGACTTGTCAAATGTACAAGCTAGTATACTTTTCTGTTATGATCCCTTATATGGATTTTATTCCCAATGAAGTGAATCATGATTATGTTTTCTTATGTTACAGGTGTTTTGGGCTCTCGTGTATGACACCAGTATGTATGTCGCCTTTAAATTCAGTGGTAGGTTCACATACAACTTCTTTTTAACTTTTCTGTTCGACTGGTTTATGATGTGGTATCTCAAACAGTTTTAGAGGGAGTAATTCTTATACACACAGGAACCTTACCATGCAACAACCAACTGCTTTACTGCAAGTCAAGAATGCTAACCTAGGGTTACTTGTCACTTTCAACAAGGAGGCACGCTCAATCATTTTACTGTACATATTATGTTTCAGATTAAAGTGCCTTTACGAAAGTCTTGCTGGTAGATTTAAAGTGTAGCTCACAAGTGTGTTATCTTATCCTCGAATCTTCCTCCGGTCCAAAAAAAAAGACAGCAAGGTGAAATGATTCGAGGAAAACAATGATATCAGAACAAGAGGAGCAGGTCTGATGATTTACTAATTACTGCTCACTTCTTGCACCAATGCAGATCAAGGTTTGTGGATGTAGAATTAACGGAGGAACTGACTCAAACAAGTAAAATCATTTTGAATCTTTTGGCTAATAGCGTCTGCTACTTATTGTACAGAAATGTAACAATTACTGTGGATTTTGTTAAGGGTTCCTGATATTTGTAGGTGCTCTTAAAGTAGCTAGAAAAAGATACCCTGATTACATGCCCCTAGGAGCCAGACATGACTTTGGTGATGTACAGGGGCCATTGCAGAGCTTCACTTGCAGAACGCAACTACCGTATCATGATTTGAGATGTGCACCTTCCTAATGTTTTGGTTATGTTAGCCCTTCATTTATGTATAGCACTTTTCTCTATGTGATTCGACTCTGAGGTCAAACAAACCCAAAGCGTTTGTTTCTGTTGCAGATGAAAAGATTTTCCAACAGAGATAAGTTCAGTCAAACACCATTTGAGAGAAATCTTCAATTTTTGCAGTACTTCTGAATATGGTTTACTTTTATTCTAAAGCCAACCTTTACAAATCGAGCTTACGTATAAAAAAAATGATAATATGGGACGGATGCACTAAACAATTAATACTCAATCTTAGGAAAATAAAGAGGGCATTAGTTATTGACGTATTCATACAATGCACATGCCTAAATCTCACTTTACTGATCAAAAGACAGTTCCAAACAGGGGCAAAAAAACCCTGATCCAGTTGGCTACCCCTTATGAAACATCCATCCAAGTACAAAACACGAGCATCATAGCAGAAAGTTTTTCTTCATGACAAATACTACCAACAAAATGAATTAATTAAGCTTTCACAGGCTCAGCTCTGGGCCTCCAAAGTCCCAGCCTATATTTGTGAGTGTACTTCAGTATCAGCTTCCTCTGCAAACACCAAAAGCAAAGAGTCAAAAGAGGCTTATGGATGCAAGCAAAACACAGCACAAAGAATTGATGGTTGTAATTCAAACAACAGTGGCATGATGAGTCGAATAAAGCATATACCACTAAGGCGTGCTACTTATCAAAATGATAGAAAAACATACAACTATGCTTGCACTATTCTCCTCATTTTTTAAAAATTGCATATAGAAACTAGTTCTAACTTCATTTTCTAGAGTTACACTTTGGTGAAGACTTTGGAACTGTTCACATCGATCCTCAAACAAAAAGATTAGTGTACTAAAGACTAGAAAGTGTTAAATTTAGTCACCGGGAAATAGCAGACTTGATCCAATCAGCAAAATTTTCACTTTGATTGCAGCTTATTGGGTTTTGGTCTCGGCGCAATATTGCAAAGTCTGAAAAATCTCTGGTATTATCAATCAAGAGTCCTGGTGTGGCTTTGTTGTCATAGTTAATGTTATCCTTAAAAGACACAACATTCACTCCAAGCTATGAATTTACCTTTCAATCTTCATATTCGTGTGAGGCAATTAGAACCCAAAAGGCTAATTTTTCTACATTTCTCGTTCCAGTTGTTGGACAGTCCAAAAGTAATCAATTGTTATTCATTCTCTATGATTGCAGACATGTTTTTTATACTGACTTGAAAGTATGAATGTTTTGGAATACCCCAAGATTGTAAAAAGTAAATAGAAAAAACCCAGTTTTTCTTCCCCCGCACTATCTTACAGTATATACTACCACCTATTTTCCTAGCGCTTTTAAAAATTTAGGAATCAATTTCAGCTGTCCTTGTCAGAATTTCTAATCCATTCTGTGCATAATGATAATACTCTGAGATCCCATAGATTAACTTTGCAGATTGGAGCGTAAACTTCCAAATGTACTAAACTAACAAAACAGACTAATTGATCACCTCAATAGGATAACTTGCATCGGACATCATCTTTAGTCACATTACATCATTTAAAGTACATGTTTAAGGCTTTAAGCACACCACTAACACAACTTATGTCCTTCCCCCGTAATATCTCATACTCGGGTATGATGGACAGTCAACTACGAAATGTTTTTCAGGTAAAGTTACGAGGGACCAAACTTCTCCATGGAGATATTTTTCACTCTAGAGTTTTATTTTTTATAAAGATTTTTCACTCGAGCTTAGTTACCCACTAAATCAGATCATAGATTTTAAAGCATAAAAAGAATTTTTATGTCGATTAACATTTGGATGCAATAACTTACGAACCAAAATTGAATGTGCTTACTGGGTCCTAACGTTGATCATACTTCATAATCTTGAACGCATTCTTTTAACCAACAATCTAATCACAAAACATCTTTGATAGACACTTAAAAGTATCCATTATTTCCTAGATGAAAAGGACTTCAGTACTGTCTCTTTCTTCAGAGTTCAGACTGGCAAAAGAATGTAGGTCTTTTCTAGATAAAGAAAAATATAGGCCTATTGATGCTATCAAAAGTGAAACTTTTAGGCCCAGATTCATTACACCACTCTATATATATGTGATTTCATCGCAAAGATGCTTTGAATGTGATATCTCATAAATAGAGAGATACAGTGGATATGGAGAGAGCAGAAAGACTGGCATTTTCACATTGGAAATCTTCTTACAGCAGATTGTCGGAAAGGGAATGCAGGCAGTTTCCTTCTCAATATGGATCCTTGGAGCTCCAAGGACGATTTCCTCTTTTATCTGAACAGCAGCAGGGGGATCCGTCTAAACAGTGTAAGGCTTAAGGAGGAGGATAATCCACATTATATGGTGCTTAAGGTGCAAGAAAGCAGGAGAGGATGACAATCAGTTACTAGTTCACTGTCTTATTGCATACAGATTATGATATGTGATGTGGAGCATACCCATAGTATGATGTCAGGCACAGAAAGAAAGGAGCTTCTAGTATGGAAATTCAGGAGGAATATGGGAAGTAGGTATTTTAGCGCTAATATGGATGCTATTGAAATATAGATTTTGAGGTATAGGTTTAACCACCTGACTCCCCTTTTTCTGGCATGATATAGTTATTAAAGTTTCTCGACGTTGGGAGTGGGAGATTAAAGGTATGCTTCATGAACCAATCAAGGCATTTCGTTAGGAAAGCATTTAAAGGGGTAGGAAAACCTGTTCCTATAGGTCACTGGGAGGCTTTTTGTCTCCGATATATCTTTGGAGCACTTTTGTTTCTCTTGTTAGTGCTGACAACTGGATGTTTTTACTCTATAGAATCGTGTCGGATTGTAAGATTTTCCAGTTACTGCAATGCATATGCGATTTCAAAGCTAGACAATCCCCACTAGCTTAACAATATCAAATGGCGGCAACGAATGGAAAAAATAAAAATGCTCCCAGTATCAACTCTTTCAAAGGCTTAACAAATGATTCTTAACATTATTCATCATCACATCTATTGAGATTTTCTTACAATGGTTCAACTAGACACTACCTACAATTAACCATCGAATATGTGTTCTATCATCTTGACAGAGGAAACACCCACACAGATCTAATCCCTTAGGTTTTGAAGAATTACTTCAAAGCTGGAAAGCAGTTACCTTTTCAGAAGAAATATTGGACAAAAATGAAACAAATTAAAAGGAAAGGAGATAAATACTAACATGTTTACAAGGGATGCCAAGTTTCTTGAGCTTAAGAGTGCGAGTAACAAGAAGCTTCGAGAAATCTCCAATCTCCGATTCAAGCTTCTCAACGTGCGTCTCTACCCCCTTCCCTACTCCATTCAAAAACTCTGGAATCCCCACCTTCACTGCACCCACCATCTTTCTTATCATTCCAAAATTATGGGTTTCAAAAAAATCAATTCTTTATCAAATTTCAAAATTGAAATTGAAATTACCTATATAAGGATTGGATTTAGAGGAAAAGCTAGCGAACCCAGATGTCACAGAGTTTGAAGGTACTGAAAGTAATCTTCTGTTGGAAAATAGAATTTGCCTCCACGCCATTGTTGAGCTTCCTGTGGATTGAGAGCTTCTCCGGCTACTTCCTGACGATTCTGAACAAAACCCTCACACAATTACGCAAAGATGAGAAAATGATCAAAATAGTCCCTAATGTATTGGGTTTGTTTTATTTTGATCCTTTATGTATAACCTTTGATAAATATAATCCCTAATTTATATTTCTATTATATTGGTCCTAACTTTAGCACTTTTGCCACTTGCACTTCCCAAAATGTATTAACACATTTTTTCTGAATTACTTCAATAATAAAATAAATAAATATAAGAGCAAATTTCAAGAATAACAAACATAATAATCATATTAGCGTTCTATAGCTATAGTTTTGCTATTTGCGCTCCATAGCATCTGATTTACTTATATAAATCTCACTCACCACTCTCTGAAATCTCGCTCACCACTCTCTGAAATTTGCTCGCCACTCTTTGGCTTGCCTCTCTCACTTTATACAAACACAAATGTATAAATTGTGTTTGTATAAAGTGAGAGTGGCGAGTGAGATTTATACAAATCAAATACTCCATAGTAAACAATGTAAATAGCAAAACTGTAGCTATAAAACTCCATATGATATTTATATTTGTTATTCCTAAAATTTGCTCTAAAAGAATCCGCTTTCCTGCAACAAAAAATATGATGGCAAGTTAATCTCTATGGGCTCCATGGCCCAACAATATATTGGATAATCTATTGAAATGCATCTTGGACTAAATTGATAAACTTCAGTATGCATATTGAAAGGTGGACGAATGTATGTTATATATACGTATATATAATTATTCCAATATTTTTATGTATCCAACATGGCATGTATGCGCTGATACAGTCTATTAAGCGTGGATATACAAACTATCGTAATTGTATCGCAAAGTGAATATATGTATTGATACAACAAATTTGAGTGAACGTATATAACTATTGTGATTGTATTCATACAACAAATTTGAGTGAACGTATACAACAATTGTGATTGTATTCATACAACAAATTTGAGTGAACACTACAAGGGATACCAAACAGTAGCCATTGAACAGATTTAGGGTGTGGGGTGCGCGTTCCCCGAATTTCAGTAATTTTTTAACATATTGAGAAATCTATTAAATATATAAGCGATATTTATTTAGAACTTTGTAATAAAGTGATCTCTTGGTTCACGGTTGAATGAAACTTGCTTAATTAGTAACTCTTTGATTGGGGTGTGCAAAAACTAAATTGACCGATAAATCGAATTGAAAAAAAAAGTGTTATTATTTTATTGTTATTGAGTTATTGGGCTAACGGTTTTTAATGGTTTTATAAATAAAAAAAAGATTGGGTTATCGGTTCAGTATTGGTTTGTAATACTGGGGTTATTTGGTAAACGATAACCCATTAAGACTAGTAATTTACTACTTTTACTTGGAGTCTTGGACATGAATATTAAATATTAATCTTAATACCTTACTAGTTACTTTTAACCTTCAATTCACACTTCACATTGACTTTGAATTCACAACTTCACATTATACAAAACATCAAAACCTAAAGTAAGAACCCTATTCCTCTTAATTTTTCTTTGTGTTACACTTGTATAGTTTTTTTCATGTTTGTTATTATTGTTTCTATTTTATGAGGATTTCTAAAGTTACATCATTATGTTGTCGCGTCAAATTTATTAGAGAAGTCATATATTTGTTTATAAGTATTTTCTTATTGGTCAAACCAAAAACTGAACCGTTAAGGACCAAAACTGGTAAATCGAAAATCGATAAAAAATTTCTTATTAATTTAACGTATTTAGAAACCAATAAATCGAACCGATAATACATAAAACTGAACCAAGACATGCACACCCCTACCTTCGATTCCTCTTTGGCATATATAATAACATTTTTTAAAATTTGAAATCGCTGAGAACTCAAATCTCGAATTGTCATTATAAATGATAGGTAAATGCATAACAAATATTTATAGTATATACAGAGAGAAAAATATCCAAAAATAAAACATTTTCGAATTGGAAAATAAAATGAGAAAAAAATGTAAAAAGCAGATATGGTTACATTTACATTTGACCAACAAATTCATTCACTAAGACTAAAGACTTCCTTATAAGTTTATAGTCTTTAATCTTTATATTTTGTTAGCTTATTATCATCATTTGATATATAAGACCTGGCTTTAACAGAATTAATCATATATTATCTATCATCTTTACAAATAAATATTCTATCAATATTTTTCCCACCGAGTTAGTGGAAGAAAAAGATGATATGATTGAGAATATCGTCGAGCAAAATTCTGGAAATTTGGGGAATGTTTTTGCCACTAAGGAAACTTAGCTGCCTTTTGTAGGGCCTCAATTTGCACAATTACGATTATAATCTCAAGACCACTCACTATTTTTTCCAAGTTATTTTCTTTTCCTACTATCAGTTATCTTAGTCCCCTCTCTCTCTCTATATATATACACGTTAATTTTAGTAGAATTTGATATCTCTGATTTTTTACGAGCAAACTATAAAACTAGGGAAATCGGAGAGGTTTGAAGAAGAGAAATAATGTGAAATCAATTCAAGAGTATAAAAAGGTTGTATTGTTTAGCCATAAAAAAAGAAAATAAAAGTATTTTTTGCTAGTATATTAGATTAGCCAAATATGTGGTACAAATTTATTTTGAGTAGTCTTATCACATAATTGAGTCCTGGACATAAATAAGTTGTGAAACAAAAATGGCCCAAAGTAAAATTTAGTCGTGCCTTACTTGTCTGATTGTCTCTTGATGAAATAAACAATAAAAATAAACTGAGCCTAGTCAACACGCTAATAAATTTAAATTTTCTCATGTTTGGTTGGGCTAAATGTTTTGGAAAATGTTTTTCAAATCAATTCATTTTCCTCAAATTTAAGGAAAATGACTTCCTTTCTAAACTTAAGGAAAACATTTTCCAAAACTCTCTTCCAACTTCAAATTACAATTATTTTTTTGTTGAAAAAATCAATTTATTTTGTCCCTACCCTCAAACCACA